ATGTACTCATTAATGATAATTTATCTATTATTATTATATTATTAATATATTAATTTTTATTTGCTAAATAATTATCAATTATCAATTACTTTACATATTAATTTAAAATTATTAATTACGGTTATTTTAACGACCCACGGTAATTCGACCTCACAATTTACCAAACGTTATTACACTGTTTTTAAAACTAACAACACTTATATAATTACAATTTACTAAACACTCAACTGCTTTTTATAGCAGTTACTTTTTGCTTCAACACAGATAACATTTTTTCATAATCTACAGCACTACCAAACTAGCCCAAAAATACCCCCAGTTTAAGCCGCTACGACAACGACACCCGGACATGAAGTGGATCACGTGCTTCCTTTTTTAATATATATATTACATATATTAAGAATTAGATTTTTTTTAATACATAGCTCGAGATTCTTACTTTTGAATTTTGATGGGATTTTATTTTTTCAGCTTGAAGTTTGTTTTTAAATTCTGTGGGAATTTAATACAAGCTTTTCATCAGGAATATGGATGTATAAATTGTCCTCGGAGGACTGAAGAAGTCACACTTATGGTCATACTAAAACGAGGCTTAATCAGTTGTATTTTATTTCTAAGATGCAAAATAAGTCAAACATTCCTAAATTATTATTTTTTTTTCAATACGTATTTTATATTTAGTCATGCTAAATTTGAGGATTTATTCGTCATAAAGTTGTAACTGAAAATATTTAAGGAAAAAAGATACAAATACTCTTTTAAAGTGCATGACTCTAAATTTTATCCCTACCTCTAATTAGTATCTTTTTAGTAAAATAGCTATATTAATTAAAAGAATATTAATCAAGAGTACAACATAAAAATCAAGACTAATACACTCTTAAGAGTAACTTCAGTAATTCTCTTAATATTTTTATTTATTTTAAAGGTTGAAAAGCTCTCAAAAGCGATGGATTAAATTTGTACATATAACTTTGTTTCAACTTATTTAAAATAGAATTTTTATGTTTCTTTTTTTCTCATTTGCTTTTATTTTCTATAGGAAGCTGCTTTAAAATTGTTCATCAAATTAATTGAAATATTTTTAGTGTTTTATCTCTCATTTGCCTTAATTCCTTTTTATAGCAATTTGCTTTAAAATTTATTCGAGGACATGATAATAACTGTTGAACGCATATCAATTCTCTTTTCACTTTCAAATAGACTCTAATAACTTGCCTATCTGAAGTTCTTTTTTATTTAATATATCAATGATATTACCTTATTTTCCACTTCTAATCATCATAGTTAAGCTCTCAAAAGAAATTAAAAATGGAAAATAAAAATTTATTACAGCTGATCAGGTTTTTCATAACTGTTTTCCTCCACATTCTACTAGTTGTCTCCCTCCACCAAGAACATCTTACTCCATTTAAGAACCCTATGCGAATTGAGACCAGGTTTAACGAAGGCAATAGATGGCCCCAAAGAACGGGCTTATTGGCCCAAAACGAGAAGTTGAGAGAAAAGAAACAGAAAACTTATGGGAAAATTAGGCTCAAAACGTAAGAAAGTTTCAGGGCCCAAACCAGGAGAAAAGCAACAGAAAAGTTATGGGAAAATTAGGCTCAAAACGTAAGAAAGTTTCAGGGCCCAAACCATAACTTTCAAAAGGTAAGTTTCAGCAAGTTTCTCAAGAAAATAAACGAAAAGAGCTCGATATAACCATTTCCAAAAAAAAAAAAAAAAAATAATAAAAATAAAACTCTAATGAATATGAATTTCAATTTTCAGTAAATTCAAGATCCCTTTTCCTTCAAAAGTTAGCATCGTTTTTATTTTACTTTAGCCGAAAAAGGAAAATCTTTTGACTTAACAGCCTTTTTCTTCTATTTTCATCCATAGAAATGTGAGATGTGAGCCAGTGCTGCGAGCGCTGCAACTTGCAAGTTGTTGGAAAAATTAATAAAAAAATTGCGGAATAAAATTTTCATTCTTTGTGTGTTAAAATAGGATCTCAAATAAAATACCAACAAAATTAAATAATCAATACACCAATTAATCAAAATAATCAACCACAAGTGAAACACTAATTTTTCGCGTGAAAAACCTCTCAAATTGAGAGTAAAAATCACGGGACCTTTAGGCCACTTAAATCTCTTTTTCACTATATCAACAATGGAATAACAAAGTTTCTCTCTAGAATCAAACTAGAGGCTCCCAACAATAATATCATCAAGAAACATTATTCTTAGTTCACCAACAATATGGCTTAACAGCTTTTTTCTTCTATTTTCATCCATAGAAATGTGAGATGTGAGCCAGTGCTGCAACTTGCAAGTTGTTGGAAAAATTAACAAACAATTGCGGAATAAAACTTTCATTCTTTGTATGTTAAAATAGGGTCTCAAATAAAATACCAACAAAGTTAAACAATCAATACACCAATTAATTAAAATAATTAACCACAAGTGAAACACTAATTTTTCGCGTGAAAAACCTCTCAAATTGAGAGTAAAAATTACGGGACCCTTAGGCCACTTAAATCTCTTTTTCACTATATCAACAATGGGATAACAAAGTTTCTCTCTAGAATCAAACTAGAGGCTCCCAACAATAATATCATCAAGAAACATTATTCTTAGTTCACCAACAATATGGACATCATCAACAAAGATGGATAACAATAATAACACCAAAGAAAAGCTTAGGTCTCACCAAATTAGGAGTACTCAAGAGAGTACTAAAGAGAGGCTAAATGAGAAATCAATTCCGGTAGATTGGAAGAGCTCGCCACAAGGATTCTCCACGTCAAATTTGAGCCGAAACCGACAACGTTTCGCCACCCAATCGTCTTGTACAAGCACCGAAACCCTACCTATTTTCTCTTTCTCTCTCTCTCTCTTTTCTCTGGTTTTCTCGGCTGCACCCTCTATTGTCCCCGATTCTCCTTCTTCTTTTCTTTTCTAATTTTCTGGTGTGCTGCCCACGTGAGCAGCATGCCTTTCTTCCTTTTTTTTGTTGTTGTTTGGGCTTTAAGCCCACTTGTGGTTCCAGCCCACATATGCGGCGGAACCCAACAAACTCCCCCTCCGCATCATTTGGTGGGCTCAACTAAGCCCGCTCTCTGCCTACAAGCTTCAAGTTTCTCCTTAGGCAGCATGCATTTCTTCCTTTTTTTTGTTGTTGTTTGGCTTTAAGCCCACTTGTGGTTCCAGCCCACAAATGCGGCGGAACCCAACAAACTCTCCCTCCACATCATTTGGTGGGCTCAACTAAGCCCGCTCACTGCCTACAAGCATCAAGTTTCTCCTTAGGCAAAGTCTTCGTCAACATATCTGATCCATTCTCACTGGTGTGGATCTTCTCTAAGCGTAATTGTTTTCCTTC